TGGGTGAGAAGCAGGGAAATGGGTGCAAGTTGCCTTGGAATGATTTTTCTGCCACTGACGTATTTTCAGCCAAAGGGTAAAAGGAAAAACAAACCAGAAACCCACCCACACTTCCCCCTCCCTCCCCAGATGTGAAGCCTACAGGCACCACAGTGTGAAGATGGATTGCTGAAAGCTGTTCCAAGGCTTGTTCCTGGGTGTGGGTTTCAAGGCTTGCGACTGGCATTTGTTCAGGCTTGGTAAATCAAGCATTATGCAATGCCGTGAATGAGGAACACTCCCTTTGTCACTACTTGGAAGCTGACGGGAGGCTTCCAGTCCCCAAATCAGTGCAGCCTCCTCCAGAGGTCAGCTGCTTAGAGAAGCTTGGTTTCAGCAGAAGGCTCAGCTGTGTGGAGAACTGGGAGGACCTGGCCAATCTTCTGGACACAGACTGGATGAGCTTTCTCGCTGGTGTGACAAAGCTACATGGGGAGTTTGACTGGATCGTGTTGTTCCCTGGAATGTGGGTGGAAAGGCTTCTGCAGCTGTAGGGCAGAGACCTGAGTGGATTCATCTTTGTAACCCCCTCACTGGGGCAGCACCCCCCACCTCTCTTCACCCTTCACGGCTGCCAGCATCACTCCCCCTCCTCAATCTCACTTGTTTCTGGGGACGTAGGTACCATGATTTTGAGTCACCAGCATCCTCAATTCCCTTCCTCCTTGCCTTTCCCACTAAGTTCTTATCTGTATCCTTCAATCATTGGGGGGAAAGTTTCTCGGCTGACCCACTTGGTAGCTCCCACAAACTACCGGGTAATGACTTTTGCAGCATTATCTTCTTCGTTATCTCTGCAGGACAGGAGTTATTATTATCCCTATTCACCAGATAAGGAAACTGAGACTCAGTTCAACGTCTGGGTAGATGTAACATCTTGGGAGAAATGTTAGAATTATTGTTGCTTTACTTAATTGTCAGCTAGGAATAGCTGCTGCTAATTAATCTTGCAGTGTCAATGTCATTTTGACTCACCACCAGTCCTGATTAAATTATCATATTGGTTTATTCAGTCAAGACTTTTTGGAACCTTTGGAAGAATGAAAATAGAAACCCAAAGTGTTTTCTTTCTCAAAATCCCTAGAGGTAATCTGGAAAAAGGAATTAGGATAAAGTCTCAAGTTCTTGGTTGAGCTCTAAGAGTAAGATGATTCTGTATCATTCCCCATTACTATACTCATTATTTTCATTATTAAAATGTAAAACCCGTTTCATCTTACTTCATGAGTCAGTGTTATCTTTAATTGCCCTGCTCCAGAGAGAATGCCAGGAACTGTGTGAATTCTTTTTTACAGGTCTTTATCACATCTTACTTCTGGAGATTATGTGCAGGTGTTTTAAAGGTGTATTATTTCTAAGGTAGGAAAGGGGAGAAATTGGGTACTAATGCATTCTTCTGCTGGACTGTGAGCATTGCCTTCCCAAAGTCTTGCCTGTTACTAAGTGGCGGTCAGCAATCACTTGGTGCTTCCCGAAGTTCACTCCAATCCATTACGAGCCAGCAGTCGGGGTAGCGTGGGAAAGGTTTGCCAGTGAATCCAGAGATCGGTGTGTGGTACGGGCCAGCTCTGCCTCCGGCCAGCTTCCTGTGACTCACCGGCAGCCGGCCCACCCTGGTGTCTTCAAGGGAGCAGACTACTCTTGCTACTCAGTGTGGCCCATGGTACATGCGAAGTATCATCTAGAAGTATCATCTGGAAGCTTGTTAGAAACAGACTCATGCCTCATGCCAGACCTACAAATCAGACTCTGCATGATAGTAAGATTAACAACGATGCCAGCAGGTGGTGTGATGGTTAAGGGCTCTGAACTCCCACATGGCTGACTGTGGTTGGAGTACCGGACCTGGTGGCTTGCTGTCTTACTTTCCCTCTCTCTTTCTCTCTCTCACTCTGTCCCTCTCTGGTCAAATTAAAATAAATAAATAAAGTGAAATAAAATAATAATTTAAAAAACTCCTTTGGAAAAAAGATTAACAGGGACTTCATAGGCACATTAAAGTTTGAGAAACCATGAAGTAGTGACTTCCTGGTCCTGATTTCCTATCTATGTATCTATCTATGTATCTATTTATTTATTTCCAGAGGACACACACACTTGCCAGAGAGAGGCAGAAAGACAGAGTGAGAGAGGAAGAAAACATCCCCAGTAGGACATAGCCACACCACAATTCCTTCTCCTTCATTTTCCCATCCTGTGAAGATTTGAGGCATGCACACACTACACCTGGCATGTTTCTCAAGGCAGCCGGGACTGGGATTTGGCCATGTGGGATCCAGCTCCCTTAACCACTAGGCTGGCCTACATTTCCTTTTTAAATGTTTGTTTGTGTGTTTATTGCCATAGGTCTCACCAGAGAGAGAGGAAACGTGAGAAATCTCCTCCTAGGGAGGATGGCCACGCTGAAATCCCTTATTCTTCATTCTCCTCTCTGGAGTTTAGGTGCACACACACATGCCCAGAGTGTTTTTCAATCCACTGGGTTTGGGACTCGAACTGCTCAGTTGACTATGTGGGATCCAGAGCCTTAACTCTCATACCATGTGCTGGCCCCTAGATTCTATTTTTTTAATTAATTTTTAAATCAATCAGTGAAAACTGTATGCATGTATAGGCTGTCTGGTTATATGTATACGTTGTGGGCTAGCTAAATCAAGCTGGTAAACACACGCATGACATCGTGATCAATGACATCGAAGACACCTGATAACAACTCTCTTTTCTCCCCCTCTCCAGAAATGTGTGGAATAGTGACAAAACATGGGTTTCATTTCTGACATATATTCAATCTATTGCTTGAGCAAACAGCTTTGTTTTTTAAAGTTTATTTTCTTTCTTTCTTTCATGAGAGAGAGACACACACAAATACACACCCACACCCACACCCACACAGGTAACCTCAACAGGGTCTTGCCACACTAAGATCCTTCTCTAGCCAGCCAGGATCACTGGCTATTGGGTGTGCCCTGTGAATTCAGATCAACCATGGGCCCAAACCAGGCCTCTCAAATGGCTCTTACATCACCTAGCTGCACTCTACTGCTACGCCACCACTGGCTGAGCCTGCTTCCTCTGAGCACCAGAATACTGGGGTGGTTCTCCAGATTAATGATCAGCACACACCCGACTCTAAACTTTCTTTTTACATTTTTTCTTTTCTTGAATTCATGATAGAGCTTGTGTGTGCAGAAGAGAGAGGGACAGAGGAAATTTCCACACCATTCAGTTACATTGTGATCCCCTTCTTCCAGTCCTCCAGTCCTCCAGCCCACAGGATCCTGGGCACATGTACTTTCAGACCAACCAGACAGGGGACTGGAACCAAGGTGGGCATGTGGCTTTCAGATCCTTAGTTTGGCATGTTACCATCTGTCTGCACCACAGGGCTGGGACTAAACTGACTTTTTAAATGTATTTCCATCATAAGAAATCAAATGACAAAATGGGAAGCAAAAGCCCACGTCCCTGGGCTGCCAGAGGGAGCCCTGGGCTCCCTCTGGCAGCACACATACCCAAATTGGAATGATCCAGAAGTTAGCATAGCTCCTGCACAAGGATGGCATGTAAAAGTGTGTGGATTGAGGCTCCACTGGCTCCAAGGTTGGCATTAATCACCAGCCTATCACTGTGGCACCTGGTGGAGTCCTGGTCAAGGTACACTGGCCCATGTGCATGCTGAGCAACACCACAGGCTAGCTGAGGCCTGGCTTTCCTGGACCGGAAGTTTGACCTTAGTATGCCAAACGTGCTTTTGTTCACTGGTATTGAATAAGGGGTTGGGAGTATGAAGAGTTTTCTGAGGCTCATGAGGACATGGTTGCACTATAGAAGGAGTATGAGGAGGCTGGAGCAGTTAGTGCTGAGGGAGATGATGATGAAGAGTCTGCTACAATTTGGGGCCAGCAATTAGTGTAATGGCTATGTTGCTGGACTCCCACGTAGTCGACCGCGGTTCGAGTTCCAGACCTAGTGGCTTAAACTCGTACAGGGCGCGTGTGCGTGCGTGTCCAAGATCCCAAAAGGAGAATGGAGAAGGGATTGCGGCGTGGCCATCCCCCCTGGGGGGTGATTTCTCACTTTCTGTCTCTGTCTCTCTCTGTCTGGCGAGCGCACACGCCCTATAGCAACAACCTCTCCAAAAAAAGAAAAAAAAGAGTCTGCTACAATTTTACACTTCATTGTCTTCCAACTGTCTCATTTCTGGGATTCTGTGAAATTGTCCCTTGTTACCCTAAACTGGCAACAAAAGTGATGTTTTACAAAGTCAGGCCTCTAAGAATAGGACAAGCTTGCTATCTTCACTTTACTCTTAATTGGGAAGTGCTTGTGCAATTTTAAGTAGAAACCTTAAATATGTTTTATTTGAAATAAAGCAGAAGTCGAATCCCGTTGCCTTACTGTGCAACCTTGCCAAGCTCTGGAGATATTATTCAGTCTCCTATTCCAAACCACCCAGAAGGGGCCTTTTCTCCTGTAGCAGCTAGGAAGACTAAAACAAAACTACTTAGTCGCTGCGCTAGACCTCAGCGAAGCCTCACCTTAGGAGGCCGGTCCAAAACCAGGGCGCTGGGAAGCTCCCCCCACCTCTACACAAACTCCCTACATCCGAGTCTCCGCCTCCTCCTGATGGAAACAGTCTGGAAACCGGATTTGGACGGTAAATAGAGCCGGACATGTTATCCAGGTGTCCTAGTTTCTTACCGGACGCTAAAGACTGACGCACAAAAACGGGCTGTACCATTATTTTGTCTTACCCATGCGATCCAAACTTGAAATATTTGTAGAGACGTGTACCAAAAAGGTACCGGGACTCTTTTGCGTTTATATTATAATACTAGAAGACTTGAGATACACAAAAAACATTCTGGAGCAAGCTCTTCCTGTTTTCCCTCTCAACTTTGGACCTGAACTACTTGGTCGCTCTCGGACGTGTCTTCCGGGGGTCGCGCCCTCGGTACCGGAAGCTGCACGCGCTGGGAGCATTTTCGTGGACTGCTGAGGTGCTATGGGCCGAAGGAGAGCCCCGGGCGGTGGGACGCTCGGCCGGGCCCTCATCCGCCACCAGGCTCAGCGGAGCCGTAGCCACCGTCACACCGACTCCTGGGTAAGACAGACTCTGCCATTTTTCTTATTCATTCGGTCTAGTTGTGAGAGCCTGGGTACTGCAAACCCTGGGGTCAAAAGGCAGATGTTTTCCAGAGGAAGTGACGTCTGTTTTGAGGGGTGAAGAGGAATTTCTTCCAGGCTGAGAAACAGGTTCTCTTTCTAGGAAGGAACTCCGCGCAGACGTAGGCGCTTGAAGATGTCGAGGCCGGGGCGAGAATGTGAAGAGTGTCGAATGCCAGAATGTCTTGAATGCGTCTGGAGTTTGCCCGGGGCACAGGGGAGCCCTTGGAAATTTCTGAGCAGGACAGAATCAGAACTGCGTTTTATATCGCCTTGTTCGACGAAGTGATCCTCTGAAGGTGGTTGATTACTGTCAGAAAACGAGTACAGGATAACTCGGATTCCAGGCTTGTTAAACTTCTCAGTGGTACAGCTCAAAACGAATTATGCGTTTATTTTCCAGGTGTAACAGGGCCTAGTGGGATGTCCCTAGGAAACACCACAGTAAACGTCCTTTAAAAAGGGAATGAAGTGGTTTGACTTTGTTTATCATTTTAGTCATTTTTACCATTTGTTCCCTCCGGTATTTGAGAACTGAGTTCTCGGTAAGATTGTGTGCCAATGCGTGTGCCTGGTGCAAACTCCCCATGTGCCGTTATCACACCATCTGACCTCCATCCTTCTAATCATACACAGTGCTTATCGGTTTTCATCTGGTCGGAGTTCTTCTGTACTTAGGTTGTTGGTGGTTTTAATTGACCGAAGGAATTTGTTAATGAAGTTTTTAGGATATAGTGGGAAAAATTGAATATGATTTCGAGAGAACTGGATTTTAGTCTGAATTCTAATTTTTGCCGTTTCTGTGACCAATTTAGACTGCCGAAGGTTTTCGTCTGTAACTTTATTTTTTTTCCCCATTTATTTGTACTTGCACTAGGCATGTGGCTTAGGGCACTGTTGATCAAATTCTAGTTTATGTCTGGAAATTGTAGTTTGCAAGCGGCATTTATTTATTTATTTTTATTCCAGTTGTTACTGACCGAGTAAGTCCAGCTGCTGCTTCTTGCAGTCAATGAAACAAGACACAGAGGCTGGCCAAGAAGGGAGTTTATTTCCATAACCAGTTACAGGGAGACAGGCAGCAAGCACTCTCAAATGGTCTCAAAAAGTTTAACATGTTCTTGGTATTCATAGGTACAGAATAGAAGCACGTGAAAATCGTTCTTCACTAGTCAGTTGGTTGCTTTCCCCTGAATAATGATCCTGATTCCTGTTTGATTTCAAATGCCCATTCCTGGTTTCTCATCTGACCACTCCTCAAACATCTCCCTTGACTCAGTACTTGGTCAGATCATTCTTGTTAGAGGCCTTTTTAAATTCCAAAATGGCTGCAGTCTTGCTAAACCTCAGGCTGGCCTGCTTCATAAGATAGAACAGAAAACAGCAGAGTGAGTTACATATAACAAGGTAACTTGTTTCAGGGCTTTGTTGGTCCCCATCTACTGTACTGGATGGTGCTTGCACACTTGTGTCACAGTGCATATTGCACATCTTTGGGTCTCTACATAAAGTGCTTTTCTGATTGTTGGTCTTTATCAATAATTTTTGACTCCCTGACTGATAGAGTCAGCCTGGGTTCACGTTCTACATCTATCAGTTCGAGACTATAGACGAGTGATTTTATCTATTGAAACCTCAGTTTTTGAAACAGTCCACTGGAAATACAATAAAATGTACTTCGAAAAGACCAAAAATTAAATGAAATAGTTAAAGGAGAATGCCTATCATGAGGTAAGGAATTGATCATTTAAATGGATTAATACTAGTAATACTAACTCTAAAAGGCGATAGCTACCTTGAAGACCACAGAATATTTGCTAGGAAGTTGAGAGCTTGTTTGATGCCAAGAACAAAAGCAAGTAGCTGTATTTATTACCCTGTGTTGAATTTGCAGTTGCACACAAGCGAACTCAATGATGGCTACGATTGGGGTCGTCTCAATCTTCAGTCGGTGACTGAACAGAGTTCCCTCGATGACTTCCTTGCGACTGCAGAACTCGCAGGAACAGAGTTTGTAGCAGGTAAGTTTTTACTTATAATTTTATTCTTAAGTATTGATGACATGGCATGATGCCTGTACATTTCTGTCTTGCTCACCAGATACAAACAAGTCCATCCGAAAGTGTTTCTTTTCTTTTCTTTTTTTTTTGAGAGATTTTTGCCGTAGGGCATGTGCGCTTGCCAGAAAGACTCTAGAGAGAGAGACAGACAGAAAGTGAGGAAAATCCCCCCTCAGGGAGGATGGCCACGCCACAGTCTCTTCTCCTCCATTCTCCTCTCGGGATCTTGGGCACGCATGCACATGCATCTGGCGTGAGTTTAAGCCAGTGGGTTCGGGACTCAAACCAAGGTTGACTACATACATGGGAGTCCGGTGACGTGGCCATTACACCAACTGCTGGTCCCAGATCCTTATGTGTTTTGAGAACCCTACTGAACTCAAAAATGGGCTGTCTTTAACTCAAAGACACAGATCCCAGAAGCATTATGGAAAGGTCCAGGTGAATCCAAGCTGTGAGGTACAGAATGTCCCAGATTTTTTAATTTAGCTCTAAAACAAAGTTCAGATTTTGTTTCATCATACCAAGTATAAGAAAATCTCATAGAATAAAGAGCAGTGAACATTATGGAGAGTACCAGCATTTTCCAGAACGTGTTTTCTGATACCTTTATTAAAAGTGAGATCCTGGGCTTGCTGCTGCTTTTAGGCGATTTGGCTTATATTTAAAACACATGTTAAAGTGGGGTTTTTTCGTTTCTGTTTTTGTGTTCTAAGCAGATAGAAGACTGCTTGGCACAGAGATAAACTACAATTTCTACTTCTCATTGTTATTATAGATACATCTTGTTTAACAAATCGTTTGTTCCCAATGCTGTATTGAGTATGAACTGCTCTCAGGCATGGACGGTACTGGCTACTCAGAGGACAGTATTGAATAAGACAAGTTTTATTTTTCAGGATGTTGTTTTAGGTACTATGAAAGAAGTCTTTGGAAAACAATGGAGTTAGTAATCACTTCTACCTGAGGAAAGACTAAGCCCAGTCAGGGACAACCTCATCCTGGGAATGAATCTCCACAGTGAGTGAGAGGGGCAGATGAGGTGGTACAGGGTCTTAAACACAGGCAGGCCGAAGACTCAAACCAAGATGTGAAGCAGCAGCCCACTTTGCTTAGAAAGTGTGTTGGGGAGTTTGGCTTTGCTGGTATAGGGGGACAGGATGTGAGGAGCAAGACAGGAGGTAGGCAAGAGCCATGTTCTAGAAAGAATAAAGGTTTAAGTGAGGCTTTACAGGATTTTAACCGAGTGTACAGCATGACTTCAGATTTCATCTTTTTGGGTGTTTTCGTTTTTTAACATTTTCCCCCAGCTTTAACAAGGTACTATTGATGACTTAAAATTGTATACAGTTACAATGTATAGTATGATCTTTCATTACATGTATGTAATGTGTGAAATGATTACTGCAAACAAGTTAATTAACATATCCATCACCGTGTGTGTGTGTGTGGTAACATTTAGTATTTATTCTTTTAGCAAATGGTAAGTATTGTGTACAGTGTGGTATTATTAATGTGGTATTATTAACTGGAGTTGCCATGCTGTGCATTTGATCTCGAGAGCTTACTCATTTTGCCTAAGTGAAACTTTGCGTCTTGTGAGCCACATCCTATTCCCCACCTCCCTCCCAACCCCTGGTAACCATTCTCGATGCTGAAAACATCTGTGAGCTCGTTTTTAGAGTCCACAAATAAGTGAGATCATGCAGTATTTGACTTCTGTGCCTGGCTTATTTCACTCAGCATATTATCCTCCAGGTCATCCATGCTGTCCCAGATGTCAGAGTTCCTTCTGTTTTAAAGCTGAATAGTAATTCATCGTGTGTGTGTACCACTTTTTTTTTTTTTCTTTTTTAGTTTATTCACTTTTCATGAGAGAAAGAATCTTATTCTATGACTCCCAAGCCTTTTAGTCAGCTAGGATCACAGGCATGCCCAGTGTATTCAGCATCCAGGTCAACCCAGGAACCAAACCCAGGACCTTCCCATCTGGCTCTAGCATCCCACAGTGACACCCTGCCACCTGTGCCACCATGGCTGGGCCAGTATATACACCTTCATCCATTCATGAGTTGATGAACTCCTTTGGTTGATGCCATATCTTGACTGCTGTGAATAATGTTGCAGTGGGCATGAAGTACAGCTGTCTCTCCAAGGTACTGATTTTGTTGCCATTTCTCTTGGATATATTCCTGGAGGTGGGATTGCTGGATCATATAATAGTCCTATTTTGAATTTTTTGAGGACCCTCTATACTGTTTTTCCATAATTGCTTTTTCAGATTTTATTAGCTAAAATATCACTGATGGATTTTTTTTTTTTTTTTGAATGACAGCATGTAAACAGGTGAGGGGAGGAAGGAAGTCAGAGAGGGAGGGAAAGCTACCTCAACAGGTCACACCTCAATCCTTTTTTCTCACCCCTCCAACATCTCAGGATCTTGGGTTCCTGCGTGTCTGTAACCTCCATATTTTCAGACTGACCCAGGGAATCCCATCTGCCCTTGACCATGTGACTTCCAGCTACAGTCCAGTACTGTGTCCTTAGTCTAGTCAGAGAAGCTGGTAAGAACCAAAGTACAAGTAGGCAAGTGGCAAAAAGAACAGGAACAAGAGTGTTAGGGAGTTGGAATAAATCAGAATTATGGAGGCAATGGAGTAAGTAAAGAGCAGAAATTAAGAGTAAACTCCTGGGTTTCATAGTGAGATACCACTTCAGCTCCCTGGAGTGGCTGAAATAAAGAGAACTACAACGATGTTGATGAGGCTGTGGAGAAGTTGGAACATAATACATTGCTAGTAGGAAGGTAAAACAGTGCAGCTGCTTTAAAGATGTTTTAGCATTTCTTCAAAAGGTTAGATGTGGAATCACCATGTGACCCAGCGGCTCTGCTCCTAAATATGTGCCTAAAGGAACTGACAACATGTTGGCACATAAACTTGAATATTCATGGCGGCAGTATTCATAACTCAACACTGGAAACATAGATGTCCCTCTACTAACGAGTAGATGACCAAAATATGGTACATCTCTTCAGTGGAAGATTTGACCAGTAAAAAGGAATGAAAGTCTAATACGTGCTGCAGCATAGATGAGTCTTGAAAACTTGCTAAATAAAAGAAGTCAGACACAAAAACCCCAAATAGTATATGATGCCATTTTTTAAGAAAAAGTCCTAAATTGGCAAATCTGTAGAGATAGAAATAGATTAGTGGTTACCTGGACACAGAGGGGATGGAGACTGTCTGCTGATGAGTAAAGAGTTTTTTTGGAGTGATGAAAATGTATGATTGTGGTGATGGTTGCACAGCTCTGGTATGTGAATTATATCTGAATAAAACTGTTTCTTTAAAAAGTCTTCACTGGGGTTAACCGATGTATTAGTAGATTTTTTTTTTTCCAGAACAATTTTAGTGGGGTGGTTGAGCCAGAATCTAGAGAACCAGGGAGTGGGAAGTGAGGAAGTAGAATACTCAGCCTGTTGTGTTAGAGATCATTGGTCATAGCAGGAAGAGAGGCGTGTATGTGTGTGTATGTGTGAGAGAGAGCGGGCATGTGCATGCGTGTCGGATCCAGGCTGCATTCGTGTGTGTCTAGGTTACAGGGCAGGAGGCAGTTGAGATGGGGCAGTTGAGCAGACGACGCTTGGTTTGGCAGTATCTGTTAGAACCTTAGAGCTGAGTGTCCTGTGACCGAGCATGTTCACCCCTGAGTAGCCACTCTCAAAGCAGTGGTTCTCAACGGTAGCAAGCAGCATTATCACCCAGAGCACTTGTTAGTACACAGAGTCCTGGGTCCTTCCTCCAGAGATCCTGATTCACTGATTCACTGAGTCTGGGGTGGAGTCTAAGAGTTTGCATTGTTAACAAGCTCCCAGACGATGCTGTGTTCTGACAGTGAAAACTTGGAAACTAAATGTTCCAGTAGTGGAGAAAATGGCTAGTCAACTGTGATACAGACGCTCTATGAAATACTATAAACCGTCAGAAAGAACGAAGTAACTCTCAGTTTTTTGGTAGGAAACTTCGCTTGGAAACTAATTTATCTAAGACAAGAAGAATCTAAATCAAGAAAGCGTAAGGCTCGTATTTTTAGTTTCCTAAGTTTATCAAAATGACCAACACTCGGTATTTACATTGCCTCTTAAGTAATAGTGCTATTCTTTTCTATAAACAGAGAAGCTTAATATTAAGTTTGTGCTCCCTGAGGCCAGAACTGGACTGCTGTCTTTTGAAGAAAGCCAGAGAATTAAAAAACTCCATGAAGAAAATAAACAGTTTTTGTGTATTCCAAGAAGGTGAGTTGAAGAAGTCAGAACATTATTAAAATTACAGGGCATGTAAGTGTAAAATTTTAAGTTGGTGTTCGTATTTTTTCTGCTTTCTTTTCTTAGCTGTCATTGTTAAATCCAGATTTCCTATTTTACTTTGGAAACTTTTATACAGATTTTTTTTTCCTTCTTTCTGATTGTTTCAGACCAAACTGGGATCAGAAAGAACGAAGTAACTCTCAGTTTTTTGGTAGGAAACTTCGCTTGGAAACTAATTTATCTAAGACAAGAAGAATCTAAATCAAGAAAGCGTAAGGCTCGTATTTTTAGTTTCCTAAGTTTATCAAAATGACCAACACTCGGTATTTACATTGCCTCTTAAGTAATAGTGCTATTCTTTTCTATAAACAGAGAAGCTTAATATTAAGTTTGTGCTCCCTGAGGCCAGAACTGGACTGCTGTCTTTTGAAGAAAGCCAGAGAATTAAAAAACTCCATGAAGAAAATAAACAGTTTTTGTGTATTCCAAGAAGGTGAGTTGAAGAAGTCAGAACATTATTAAAATTACAGGGCATGTAAGTGTAAAATTTTAAGTTGGTGTTCGTATTTTTTCTGCTTTCTTTTCTTAGCTGTCATTGTTAAATCCAGATTTCCTATTTTACTTTGGAAACTTTTATACAGATTTTTTTTTCCTTCTTTCTGATTGTTTCAGACCAAACTGGGACCAGAACACCAGCCCAGAAGAACTCAAACAGGCAGAGAAAGATAACTTTCTAGAATGGAGACGTCAACTTGTCCGGTGAGTGTTTGACTCTGAGATTTGCTTTGACATCCCGAGTTCAGACATTTCCCATGTTTGCATTGCCATTTGCCTTTGAAGTCCTTCCTTTTAAAGGGAGAGGGTGGCATCTTACAAGTGCAGATGATACGCGTGTGCACACAGCTCCGCTGGGAGCGTGTACCTCTTCACAAAGATAACGCGTTGGCTACTCCAGTCAGTTCTTTTCTCCTCATTCCCGTCTCTGGCCATTGGGCTCCCTGGCTTTGTCACTGCTCTCCTGAGCATTGCTCTAGTAAGAGAGAAATGTGACTGTGTGATAGAGAAACTTTCAGGGCTTTAATAGCTTAAAGGTAAAATTCTGAATTTGGTGGAATATAAGGTTTATTTTCATACTGACTCAGTAAGAGAGATATAAAAATTTGTTAGTGTTGTGTACTTATTTTTAAATGTAATTAATTTGAGCATTTATTTTGCTTAAGACTGTCTATCATAATCTGGCAAAAATAAAAACTTCTCATTTGAAAGCCAGGCTAGAAGAGGAACAGAAGCTAATATTGACTCCATTTGAACGAAATTTAGACTTTTGGCGCCAGCTCTGGAGGGTCATTGAGAGAAGGTAAGTTCCCATTTTCTTTTGTGTAATGCAGTCATTGTAGAAGTGCTGCATTAGGTTTGGAAGTTGATATGCTCATAGCCTCAGGTTCAGGCAATGGGAATTAAGCTGTGTTTAATTATAAAAACTAAAAGTATGATGCCATACTTTTTTTTCAATACAGATTTTTTTTGATATTGGGTAACTACATTGTGCAGTGTGTGAGAATAATGAGTATTTTCTGTTACGTTAATGTGGAGCGTGTGTAGTTATTTCAGCAAATATTGACATCCTGCTGGTAACAGGGAAAATGTAGCTATGAAAAAAGCAGGTTCCTGCCTGCAAAGAAAACATGTTGTGAAGGAGAGATAGTGACAAAGCTCATTTCAGCAGACTTTGGTGGAATTCATCTAAATACTTGGCAAAGCACCAGGCACCAGGGGCACACAGATGAGTGAAATGCACTCTTACTCTCAGAACTTAATGTCTCAGGTACACAGAAAGTGTGATTTCTCCTGTGTTCGAGATGGAAAGGCAATGGGCCGTGTCAGAGCAGAGGAAGGACTAGTTGAAAAGGATGGAGGAAAATCAAGGGGTGATTTTTTTTTATTTAATTGGACTTTGAAAAGAGAATGATTTTGATCAATTGAGAATGAGAAATTCTTTTTTTTTTTTTTTTTTTTGAATGTAACATAAGTAAAATTCCTGATTAGAAATTGAAGGATTTTCTCAGAGTTTTTGGATTATTTACAAGGAACTCTATAAATGATACTCACATATTTTTTTCAAAGCCATTAAATGTACCTAGTAAGAAAATTCAGGAGCAGTTTTAATTGGGATTTTCAGAAGAGAGTATTACGGGACCAGCAGTTGGCGTAATGGCTATGTCGCTGGATTCCCATGTAGTTGACTGTGGTTCGAGTCCTGGACTCGCACTGGACGTTTGTGCGTGCGTGCCCAAGATCCTGAGAGGAGGATGGAGGAGAAGGGATTGTGGCGTGGACATCCTTCCTGGGGGGTTATTTCTCACTTTCTGTCTGTCTGGCTTTCTGGTGAGCGCATGTGCCCTATAGCAAAAACCTCTCCAAAAGAAAAAAAAAAGAAAGGAAATATTACCACATTTAGCATTGTTAGTGAGAAAGCAGGGCTTAGATTAAACTTCTGTTGGGTCGTCAGAAAAGTCATGATGCATTTTTGCATAAAAAAGATATCCTGACTCTTCCAACGACCCAGTAGAAGTCACATTTCTTTTTAGGGTGATAAGAATGTTTAGGAATTAGTAGTGGGGTAGTTGCACACTTTTGTGAATATACTAAAAACTGAATTGTACCTTTTAAAGGGGGGTGAATTTTATGATGTAATTACCTTTTTTTATTTGTTGTCAGTGGGCACATGTGCTCACGAGAGGGAGAGGGCACCCCCACCCTGCAAAGGGAGGTGATCATGCTGCAATTCCTTCTTCATTTCTCTGTCTTGTAGGGTCTTTGGACATGAATGCACACATGCCCAGAATGTTTTCTGAGCCATCAGAGCCAAGATTGAAGCCACACAGATAGCCATGTTAAATCCGACTCCCTTAGCCACTATTCCACTTAGCTCTATATCTTGATTTTTTTTTTTTATGTCACTTAAACATCTCCTGCCCTGCTCTCAGAGCAGAGAAAGGGCTAGTGGGCTAGGATGTGGGAAAATCAACCATAACAAGGCAGATCACTGAGTCTTTGGTGGTGCTTTAGCAATTGAGAGTGTGGACTGCTTAGAACGCCAAAGAGAGATGGCAGGGGCTGGCTCCATGTCTCAGTGGTGATGCATTGCTTGAAAGAAGCAGAGCCCACGTGGTGGCCAAATCCCCAGTCTGGTCGGTCTAAAACACGCCTGTCTTGCATGAGTGCCCAAGATCTAACAGGCTGGAGGAGGACTGAAGGAAAGGTACCACAGCATAACCAGACTCTTCAGGTTGCTCTTCTCTCTCTCTCTGGTATGCATGAAAAAGGAGAAAAATAATTTTTTAGAAGATGAAACAGCTTTAAAAAAAACAGAGGGCCAGCTAAGTGGTATGGTGGTTAAGGTGGCTTAATCCCACTTGGCCAACTGCATGGTTCCAGCTCCAGGCCCAGTGGCCTAGGAAATACACCGGATGCATATGCACGTGTGCCCCAAATCCTAAGAGATGAGTGGAGGAGAAGGGACTGTGTGGCCATCCCCTCAAGGGGTGCTTTCTCCTTGCCCCCTCCTCAACATTACCTGTCTCTCTTTGGCTAGCACATGGCAAAAGCTAAAAAAAATAAAATTAAGAGGGACCAGCGGTTTGCGTAATAGCTATGTCGCTGGACTCCCATGTAGTCAACCACAGGTCCAGTCCCAGACCCAGTGGCTTAAACTCATGCCAGGCACGTGTGCAAGATTCCAAGAGGACAATGGAGGAGAAGGGATTGTGGCGTGGCCATCCCCCCTGGGGGGGTCATTTATCACATTCTGTCTCTCTGTCTGTCTTGTCTTTCTGGTGAGTGCATGTGCCCTATAGCAAAAACCTCTCAAAAAATAAAAATCAGAAAACAAAGATAAATGGCATCAAATTCTGAAATACTGCAACTTGGACCTTGAGGAAATACTCCTTCCACGTTTACACACTTAATGGTTTTTGTTTTGTTTTAGATTTTTCTCCTTCTTCCAATATTGTCTGTCTTCCTCTGTGTTCCTTTTTTTCCTATTCTAACTCATGTAAGAGTTTCTTTGAATGCCAGATGATGTTCGTTCAGTATAAGAATGAAGCGTTCTGGAGTGCACATTGACAGGCCTACCTGTTGAGGTGGTTTGCCAGCTGGAGCTTCACTGTAGGGTGACTGGCAGGGGTCAGGTTTATTATTGGAGTATGCCGAGGTGCTAGTCTGTGGGTCTTTTCTCTAGGGTCAGTCAGTTCATAGAGAAAAGAATGACCCCTGCAAGGCTCAGGGCAGAAAGGGGTGGCATGATGCAGAGGAGCTAGGCATTGCTACAGCCAAATGCTCAAGGTCACGTGCAGTCATTCTTGGGCAGGTTGACACCTCTTTCCACCTTCTCCTTTGCCTGAGGACCCACTCTGGAGCCGCTCGGGTTCGTTTTCTCCATACCATTGGGCCTAGAATGCAGGCTGGGAGAGGGTTGCGTTTGCCTGCCTTGATGGGCCAGGGGAGCTGACTTAAAAGCTCACTGTTCAGGCTGAGTTCAGCCTCTATCTCACTTGAGACAAAGATCTGGTGATTCTAATCTGAGCTTTCCTGGGGCCCTGGGGCACAGACAGGTTTGCTTCTTACTGATACAACATCTACTCACTGCTGCTGTTCTTTCTTTCTCTTTGTCCTAATGGGTTTCAGCCTATACTTTCATTTTTGTAGGTTTTCAGAGGAAACAGAGACTCATGTGTGTTCAGTTTAATAGGAAGGCCCTTTCACATTACTTATGTCCTTAAATTGACAACTGGTTTTTCCAGAGTGACCCTGAAGCTGTTGAAACTTCTAGCTTTAATTAGAAAACAGTGTTGTTTGCTAGATTATTTTTGTTATATTTTCTTATAAGAAAACTTTTTGTTTTAAATTTTGCCAGAGAACACATGTGTTCATGGAGAAAGAGAATGAGAGAAAGCACCCCCAGTGGGGCATGGTCATGTTATAATCCCCTGTCCTCCATCTCTCCCTCCTTTTCTGGATTTTCAGCAAGCACACATACCCAGTGTGTTCCCCGAATTGCTGGTTCTGGGGCTCAAACCACCTGGTCAGCCATTTGGGATCCAGCCTCCATAGCCACCAAGCCACAGACTGGCCCCAAAACATATTTCTAAGTCAGGGAATACAGTTTATATCACATAGAAATGCATCTGAGTTACATAGAAATATTATTAATAAAGTGACTGCCACTGCATCGCTTAACAGGAAATATTTATTGATGCCTTCCCCTTGGCAGATGTCTCCTGTTTGGTAACAGGCTTGCTAAGCCATCTGCCTCTTTAATTTCAATAGAAGTTATTTAAAAAGGTTTGATGTGTAACGTGCTGTTGAGATGCAGGAAACTGCTGAGGCACTGAGGGCAGAGCACTGTATTCCAGTAAGACCAGGCACTCCCTTTGTGCTGCAGAAGCTCTTCCTGCCGCCGAGCCTGGCACCTTGCTCTACACCCACTCAGTACACGAGGCGGGCTGTCCTGAAACGTCTTCGTCCTCACTGGCGTTTCTGAGCTGATTGTGCTTTCTGCATGTTCGATAGATGGTCCTGATGTTTGTGGACCTCGCAGCTTTAGGTTATTAGACTATGTCCACAGTATGTGATCATTTTTGCATATATTAAATATTTTGTTTGAAAGTGAAATAACAACTATAAGAAGAAAATATTGGTACCAACTTAATTATAGAACTTAAAAATAATTTCTGGAAATTAGCAAGTGTGTGAGTTCCTTTGCCTCACAGAATTCTGTATTTCACTTTACATTTCCTGAAAGGAAAGGAACTTTTAATTGTCAGAAGCTCCGCCCTTAATTGGTATCTTGATTTATTGGTCTTTGGTATAGTTGCAAAGAGTTACCTCAGAAAAGGCGGATTGGGGACCAGCAGTTAGCATAATGGCTATGTTGCTGGACTCCCACGTAGTCGACCGCGGTTCGTGTCCAGGACCCGGTGGCTTAAAACTCACGCCGGGCGTGTGTGCATGCATGCCCAAGATCCCGAGAGGAGAATGGAGGAGAAGGGATTGTGGCGTGACTACCCCCCCCGGGGGGTGATTTTTCCCTTTCTGTGTCTCTGTCTTTCTCTGTCTGGCGAACGCACGCGCCCTATAGCAAAAAACCTCTCCAAAAAAAAAAAAAAGGAAAGGCGGGGTAACCACGGGGCCTGGTTGGGCGTGCAGCAGTGACGACGCTCCGCAAGGGTGACCTGCATGGGAAGGTTCCAGTTTCACCTCTGTGGACCTCGCTCGAACACCCTGGGCAGGCAGGTGCCTGTCATCTGGGGTTACGCCGGGCGTGTGTGCATGCATGCCCAAGATCCCGAGAGGAGAATGGAGGAGAAGGGATTGTGGCGTGACTACCCCCCCCGGGGGGTGATTTTTCCCTTTCTGTGTCTCTGTCTTTCTCTGTCTGGCGAACGCACGCGCCCTATAGCAAAAAACCTCTCCAAAAAAAAAAAAAAGGAAAGGCGGGTTAACCATGGGACTTGGATGGTCGTGCAGCAGTGACGACGCTCCGCAAGGGTGACCTGCATGGGAAGGTTCCAGTTTCACCTCTGTGGACCTCGCTCGAACACCCTGGGCAGGCAGGTGCCTGTCATCTGGGGTTGGCTGCAGATTAGCTGTGGCCTGGGAGGAGTCGCGGCATGGAGACCCTGCTGGGTGTGCCCGACGCTTTCTCTCTTCCCTCAAACCCTTCGTCTCTGTCTTGTTCATGGAAGAAATAGTCTTTTTAAAGGAAAACAAGCAAACTGATGAACCAGATAAGGATTTGGGGGACACTACTATAAAGAACATCTGTAGCTTATTTCCTTCTAGTGGCAGTCACTTATAGCTGGCTCTCGAGCAGTTTCCTAGTCACTGAGGATGAGGAAGGGAAGATGAAGTGCTACTTTTTTCTCCTTGTAACATGGGGTTTCTGTAGTCCCCAATTATATGACGTGGGGTAGGGGGGAATAAATAACATGAAAAAACTGTGTGTGGACTTCAAAATTGTTTGCACCCCAAAAAGTTGTACTTTAATTCCATTTTTCCACACATTTCGAGGTCTTCTCATATTTGTGAGAGATTTGAGGGGCTTGCTCTTAGTCACAGAAAGTTTTTTATTGCTACGTGACCCTACGTGTATGGAAGAAGGCGGACTTGTCGTACCTTCTTCAGTGTGGCAACCTAGTTGATTTGCTGTTTTGTATTTTTGCCCTCTCAACACATTTTCGAAAACGGATGATGATTTGCTGAATGTATGTTTCCTTCCTTGTCATTACTGGGTTTAAATAAGATACCTGTGGGCCAGCAGGTGGCGTGGAGGTTTAGGTTCTGGATCCCACATGGCCAACCTCGTGGTTTGAGTCCTGGACCGGTGGCTTGGAAATCAAGCTGGGCACCTGTGTGTGTGTGCCCACAATCCCAGTAGGAGAATGGAGAAGAGGCTCTGGCATGGCCATCCTCCTTGGGGGTGGTTTCTCACTTTTCCTCTCTCTCTCTCTGGTGACCACACATACCTTATAATAAACAAAAGAATAAAATGCTGGCTTCAGTTGTAGCATCTGTCAGTGAATGAGTTATTACTTTTCTTGTGAGACCTTAATGAGAGTGCAGATTAGGGATGGAATGCTTCATAGACTTCATCTTGGATGAAGTTTTGAAGTATTCTTTTATTTTGCTGAGAGAGTTTAATAAAAGTTACAGTGGAAGTTTTAGCAATGAAACATCATCTGGGCCCCTCCAGCATAAGTGAACGGTAGAACAATATGTTTAAGAGCATGACCTCGGGGCCAGTGAGTGACATGGAGATTAAGGTGACTAGATCCCACATGGCTGGCTGCGTGGTTCAAGTCCGACACTGACAACTTGAAAATCATGCCTAACACATCTGTGTACATACCCAGAATCCCATGAGGAGTATGGAGAAGAGATTTTGATTTGGCCATTCCCCTGGCGAGTGATTTCTCATTCTCTTCTCTTCATTTCTGTTTTCTTTCTCCAACAAGCTCTTGCATCCTATAGCAAACTTGAAGGAAAAAAAAGATTTCTGTTTCAGACTGCGTGGGTTCCCATTCCAACTCCTTTACTTAGGAGCTGGTGACCTTGGGCTGTTTACTTAAAGTTGTTTTAAGCCACAGTTTCCTCATATACCCAGCAAATAGTTGTACCTTAAAAAAATTAATATATGTCAGGACCAGCAGATGATGTAATGGTTACATTGCTGGACTACCACATAGTTGACCGCAGTTTGAGTCCCGGCCTGGTTGCTTAAAACTCAGCCAGGTGTGTGTGCGTGCCCAAAATCCTGAGAAGAGAATGGAGAAAGGATTATGACGTGTGGCTATCCCCCTGGGTGTTAATTTCTCACTTTTTATCTTCTCTTTCTGGCAAGTGGACATGCTTTAGAGCAAAAAAAATCTCTTTAAAAAAATTAATATATGTCAGGCGCTTCTTATTTGAGAAGTGTTTGCTGCTGTTGCTATTATAATCGGTGATGTTTTCACATTATAGTGATTGGACTGTCTCACTTCTGTTTTTCAGTGATATTGTGGTCCAGATAGTAGATGCCCGAAACCCACTCCTGTTCAGATGTGAGGATTTGGTAAGTAAAGTTAACGGAATTCAGACGTAAGTACTCTTGAGTATCAGTGAGAGGCAGCATCACTCCACAGTAACGTAGGGAAGCATTCTTTCCTTCCTCTAGCTTTGTTTAATTAGGCCACCTCCTCCTCCCAAGGTCAGGAGCTTGAGTAATGGCACTGTTTAAACAGGTGTCTTCTCAAACAATTGTTCCCATTTGTAGGAAGGCACAAACACTTTCTGGCTTAAAAGCTAGAAAGAAGCTGCTTTGTTAATAGTGTTTCCCGGGACCAGCAGATGGCATAATGGTTATGTCGCTGGACTCCCACACAGTCAACTGTTGTTTGAGTCTTGGACCCAGCGGCCTAAAACTCACACTGGGCACATGTGCGTGCGTGCCTAAAATCCCCAGAGGAGAGTGGAGGAGAAGGGATTGGTGTGGCCATCCTCCCAGGGGGCGATTGCTCACTTTCTGTGTCTCTGGCGAGGGCATGTGCCCCATGTGGCAAAAAAAGTATTTACAACTGTCCTATTTTTCAGGACGCACTGATAGAAATAGCATTTTACTTAGCATATTACTAGTCACTTCACTTTTTCATCCATCCTCTAAGTTCTCTCTCCTCACACCTTGGTGGTTATTCCCTGTGGTTCTTCCAAGTGACCTGAGTTTATAAAACACTACAAGGGATAATAACTGAGATGAGGATCCCACGAAATAGTGGGACACAGGCTTCGAGTTCATAAAATGCTGTACACATGTGAGGTATTCATATTTCTGTTTAAGAACCATAATAATAATATAGATTTTTTTTTTTTGAGAGATTTTCGCTATAGGGCATGTGCACTCGCCAGACAGAGAGAGACATAGAGACAGAAAGCGAGAAATCACCCCCCAGGGGGGATGGTCACGCCGCAATCCCTTCTCCTCCATTCTCTTCTCGGGATCTTGGGCACGCACGCACACGCGCCCAGCATGAGGTTTAAGCCACCGGGTCCGGGAAGCGAACCGCGGTCGACTACATGGGAGTCCAGTGACATAGCCATTATGCTAACTGCTGGTTCCCTAGATTATTTTTAAATATGCTGGAGAATAACAAAAATCTTAATGGCGAAACTTTTCTGAACTTACTAAAAGGATCAGTAGGATTTACCATGATTAAAAAATCTTTAAATTAGGAAATGATTTAAAACTGGGAGCAGCAACAACTATTATTGAGACTGTCAGTATATTAGGTCATTGGGAAGTCATGTATTGTTCTGTGTTTTGGCATGCAAAAATGCATCCTGACTTTCCCGACAACCCAATAATTAACCTTATTTTCTCTCCGTTTGAAGAGACTTTCTGTGTTTGTCCTGCTTAGGAATGTTACGTGAAGGAAATAGATGCCAACAAGGAGAACGTCCTTCTGATAAACAAGGAGGATCTGTTGACTGCTGAGCAGCGGAACGCTTGGGCCATGCACTTTGAAAATGAACAAGTGAAGGTTATCTTCTGGTCAGCTCTGGCGGAAGCCAATCCGTTGAACAGTGTCTCTGAGGTAACCCGGGGCACTTTTCAGGTTGGGTTTCAGGGAGGAGGATTTTGATGTCTGACGAGCGTGCTTTGTGTTCTCTCTTCGGCTAATTTGTGACCACTAGTTATTTTTCTCCGTACGTGCTGTGATAGTAGAGTGATCTGTAGGAATGTGTAGCGTAAGGCTATGTTACTTTCTCTGTGGTTGTCAAATATCTAACGTCCCTGGTATTACACACTGATGTTAACTATAATTTTTTTAAAAACCTTAGCCAGGAAGTTGTATAGGAAGTTCTGTAATGACCTTGTAATTGCTCTCAAGAGCAGTTAGAACAAAAGAGTACAACTGAAGGATGTAGTGACTTCTCCAGACCTGATCAGAATCTCTCTGACTTTGTTTTGGAAACAAAGAAACTAAGTAACCTTAAATTAAGATATACTAGTTATTTCCTGTATCTTTTGACCCAAATTTTACAAAAACAATTTGGGCTTTATTTTTGGTTTTGTTTTTAAAGAACTGTTTAACTTTATTTATGTATTTACTTATTTTAACTTGGCCAGAGAAGGGACAGAGAGAGAAAGTGAGAAAGCAAACCGCCAGATTCGGGACTTGAAGTATGGTCAGCCAAGTGGAAGTCCAGCACCCTTAACTACCGTGCCACCTGCTGGCCCCTATTTTTGTTTTTTAATAAAATAATAACTATGAAAAGAAATTAGTAATAGAATCTTAGAGCTAGAAGAGACTTAGAAATAGTATCTTTTTCACTGTCCTTTTTCCTTTTTTCTATCTTATTTTCCAAATATCTGTTGACTTTTTAATATGTATTGAGTTAGATTCTGTAACTACAAAACTTCACTGCAGTAGGCCCACTATTTGGAAACTTCTGACTTTTAACTAAAAAAATCCTTTCCCCCACCTTCCTGTAGAACAGTCATACATGGAGGTTTTTAAAAAGTTCCTAGAAAATGTTAATTATGAATAATGCATGGATTTTTAAGATTTATCCACCAAAGTTATCTTGTACTTTCATTGCATTTTCTCATAAACTTCTTAAAATTCCCTTGGATTACTTTTCTGTTATTACTTTAAATGACAGGGCTCTCAAGACCAGGTACCTCATTCTTTTATTCTTTTTTTTTCCTTCTATTTTAAAGTTATTTTATATTGATTCACTGAACATCATCACAGCATACAAAATGTGATTTCCCATCCCGAATACATCGTATCTTGGCTTAATCATATATATTATCATCAACAAATAGTTTTCTGGTTCTTGTTTCTTATATTTTTTTTTCTTTTTTTTTTTTAATTCTCTATTTCTCACCCTTTGCCATTTTCCACCCTCCTTGGACACTGTCTCTGGTATCTACAGTTGCTTTCCATTCCTTTATTTTCCCCACATTTTATTGATTCACAAAATATCTTTATTCTAAATACTTTCAATAGCAAGTTCAACTGATATATACATGCCTGTGAACACATGTCTGACTTTAGGCATGAAACTCTGTGAGTAGAATGAATACTATAAAGTAGCACCTAGCTGAGGCTATATAGCATACTGTAGGTAAATAGGTATTTTTTTAATTGTAAGAAAATACACCCAAAATAAATAATGTTAATAGAAATTTGCTTAAAACTTAAAGCCAGGAAACAGGTCAGGATTTTGTTCAAATAGTAGGTATATGAACCTATTGGCAGCTCAAGAGAAGATAAAAATTCTTAAATCTGGAAAACAAAGCATAGAAGAAAATCAGTCATGTTTTACTCAAAAGTCCTAAAATTCTATTTTACTAGTTCAGTCCATGTAATTAATCTCTCTTTTGTTGTGGTCCAATCTTTCCGTTTAAATTCTGGAAGATAACATTCAACTCCGGACTTGTCCCTGGCCATTTTCTTGGTTGTTTTTGAACTCTTAATTCTGTGTGTCTATACTTAGTTTTCCTGATATAGCACTCTGTTCAGAACTTCTTGGAATGCTTGGTCTGGTATTGGTAAATTCTTTCAGGTTTTGTTTATCTGAGAATGTTTTTGTCTTTTCTTCCTCTATGAAGGATAATCTTGCCAGGTGTAGTATTCTTGGTTGAAATTGTTTTTCCGTGAACACTTTGAATATATTTCCCCATTCTTTCCTCTTGCATTGTTTCCAATGAAAGGTCCACTGTTAGCCTGATGGGATATCCTTTGTAAGTAACTTGATGTTGCTCTCTTGCCAATTTTAGTATCTTGTCTTTGTGGTTTTGATCATTCTGGCTATGATGTGTCTCAGAGAAGATGATCTTAAGTTGATTTTATTTAGGGTCCTTTATATTTCTTGGGTCTGGATCTTTGAATGCCTCTTTAGGTTTGGAAAGTTTTCTTCCAGGATTTCATAGAATGGATTATCAATGCCCTTATGAGTCTCTTCACCTTCTGGGATACCAGTTATCTGGATGTTTGGACGTTTAATGGTATCTAGTACTTCTTGTATATTATTCTCATTTTGTGGGGCAGTTTTCTCAGTCTTCATGGTCAATTTTTTTAGGGCAGAGATTCTGTTTTCTGCATCTGAGATTTGGTCTGCATGATCTAATCTACTTTTAATACTTTCAAGGGAGATTTCGATTTCCTGTATTACAGACTTAATCTCTAACAGTTTCGTTTGATTCTTTTTTTTTATGGTGTGTATTTCCTCTTTCAGTTCTCACAAGAACTTCCTCACCTCCTGGAACTCATTAGTTCTTTCCTCCTGCATCTTCTGGGGTTCATTGTCTCTCTTCTCTTGCATCTCTGTTAGCTTTGTCACTATGAATAGTCTAAATTATTTATTTATCTGACATTTCTACGAGTTCCTTGTACTATCTGTGGATGAAGAGTAGTAGTTGTTCTTTTCCCTTTTTTTTTTTTTTTTTTTTTTTTTTGAGAGGTTATTTTTTTGCTATAGGGCATGTGTGCTTGCCAGAAAGAGACAGAAAGTGAGGAATCACCCCCAGGGAGGATGGCCACATTACAATCCCTTCTCCATTCTCCTCACAGGATCTTGGGCATGCATGCACACGTGCCCAGGTTAGTTGAAGCCACTGGGTCCAGGACTAGAACCACAGTCGACTACATGGGAGTCCAGCGGCATAGCCATTACACCAACTGCTGGTCCCAGGAGAGGCATTTTCTTGGTTTCTCATATTTCTGTGCCTCTGTGGTGATTTCTGGTCATCTGATAGGTTATACGTTTCTTTCTAATTTCTAGAAATTGAATCTGAGTGTTCAGAGGCGTGCAGTAGGAGGTGATCTGCAATCTCTCTGTAGTTCCATTTTTCTCCCTTTGTGCAGCAGATTCAGTGAGAATTTAGGAATATTCTGACCCTAATACTATTCACGTTTGCCTACCATTCACTTAGACCTGCCTAGACACTCTGTGTGGAGGCTGAGCAACAAATTGATAAAGGTAAAATGAAAAGAAAACAAAAAAAGAAAAACAGTTAAAAATGTTTTTTAAAAAAAGCAAAAATTAAAAATGCACAGCATGTAAGTGTACCACACAAAAGGAATAGTTCATAGCTCAAATACAGGAGTCTTTTCAGAAGGCCTATGGTTTCGCCTCTCCTAAATGGGAGGGAGAAGGGTGAGAATTAGCAAGATAAAGGAGGATTTGAGAGCCAAGAAAGTACTTTACTTTGAAAAAGATAGTAAAAATTAAAAAAAAAATTTTTTTAAAGAGAGAGTGGCAGAGAGAAGGATACAGAGGGTGCACTGCCGCTCTAGATTGGGATATAGAGGGTGAAATCTCAGCAGAAAATCTTCAGTAATCTTAGTCCTAGAAAGGAATAGTTCACAGCTCAAATGCAGGAGTTTTCTGGTACCTTGTTCTTTTTTTATCTCTAAACTTAGAAAGATCTTCATTCAGTGGGGCTAAGTCAGCCTCCCTAACTTTTTTTTTTTTTTTTTTAAGATTTATTTATTTATTTATTTATTTATTATTCACATGAGTTTTGCCAGAGAAAGATGGAGTGAGAGAGGGAGAATTAGAAAGCAAGCCACCAGGTCCAGGACTCGAACTGCGGTCGGCCATGTGGGATTTCTAGCACTTTAACCACCTTGCCACCTGCTGGTCCCATCCTCCCTAACTTTTGATCTGAGGACTTATCCTTTGTCCTCTTAGTTTTGTTCTCTGCTTTCATATTCCTCGTAGATATCCTGAGTGCCTTTCATAATGTCAGGATTACAGTTAAATTGTCTACATCTATTTGAATACTCATATTTCTTTTTTTTTTTTGGAGAGGTTTTTGCTGTAGGGCACGTGCGCTCGTCAGACAGAGAGAGACAGAGAGATAGAAAGCGAGAAATCACCCCCCAGAGGGGATGGTCACGCCACAATCCCTTCTCCTCCATTCTCTTCTCGGGCTCTTGGGCACGCACGCACACATGCCCGGCGTGAGTGTTAAGCCACTGGGTCCGGTACGCGAACCGTGGTCGACTACGTTTGAGTCCAGCAACATAGCCGTTACGCTAACTGCTGGTTCCCAATACTCATATTTCTTGAGATCAGGGTAGTCCCATTAATTCAGTGTTTCTATTAATCCCTTTCCTTTCTAGAGTTGTAAGAAGCTCCTGGCTCATTGAACCTGTGAACAACCCAACCAACTCCTCAGTGGTTATATGGCAGTCTGCTTTCCTTTGTTTCTCCCTCCTGTTGGGCCTTAGGCACATACACACACACCCTACATGTTATTCAAGCCACAGGTCTGGAACTTGAACTGCAAGGTTGGCCATGTGGGATCCAGCCACCTTAACCACCATGCCCCACGTGACTGGCTCCACATTCTTATTTTGATGCTGCTTTTATAAAAACACCCATAAATATATAAACGTTTTCTTTTTTAGAGAGAGATTTTTGCTATAGTTCCTGTGTGCTTGCTGGAGAGACAGCGAAAGATAGACAGAAAGCAAGAAATCACCCCCTAGGAGGCATGGCACGCCACAGTCCCTTCTCCTCCAGTCTCCTCTTGCACACACACGTGCCCAGCCTGGGTTTTAAGTCACCAGTTCTGGTACTCAGACCTCAGTCAACTATTTGGGAGTCTAGCAGCATGATCATTATGCCATCTGCTGGTCCCTGCTAAATTGATTCAGAAGTACTTTTTGCGGTGAAGACACAGACTTCTTTTCATTCATTGCTTATTTATCCTAGAAATTGCTTCCAGTGTTATGGTACTCTTATAGGCCAGGTTTTCTTTTAAGTTGCTAGGCAAGAGCGTGAAATCATGACCTATTTTTCCTGATTTTTTTTTTGTCCTTGTCTCTACTTTCCTAAAATTTAGGATACTTGTTTGACTTGAATTCATTGTGTCTCCTTCTGTGACTGTTAGTCATTCTAATGCTGAAATGTCTGGAAATGATAGGGGTTTGTATCACTTTTATATGCCAACAGATTTACTCATGTTGATAAGAATTAGTAATATGGTATTTCTGCTTTGTGGTCACTAGAGATTCAGAGGATTTAACATGCCCGTGAGTGGTAAATGATTTTTACCTTTCTCTTTCTGAAGGCAGTCTTCCACTGGATAAATAATTTTTACATAGGGAGTTGAGTTTTACTGCTCCTGCATTTCAGACACGCAGGTTTGTGCTCCAGGGTGCTTTCATTTATTATAGACAATTATAAAAAGAATAGCAATTTTTCTTTTTTCCTTACTCAGGGCATGTGTACTAACCCAGAGAGAGAGAGAGAGAGAAAGTGAAATCACCCTCCAGGGGAGATGGCTACACTGAAATCCTGTTTCCTCCAGTCTCTTCTTGGGGTTTTGAGCATGTGTGGCCAGTGTGATTTTCCAGCCACCAGGTCCAGGACTCGAAATCAGGTGGTTGGCCATGTGGGATCCAGCTTCTGAACTTGCATGTCACCTGCTAGCCCCCTCTCGTTGCTTTTTTCAAAGATTTGTATTTTAAATCATAAAGACAATTTGTGCAAAGTTTCAATAATATAAACACATGTGAAGTAACCGTGACAACCCGCTGCTCCTCCCTTGCCCAGAGAGCACTGTTGTGACGTTTGGCTGTCTGTCCTTGCAGTGAACAGCTCGCATTGTCTCCTCCTCATTTCTGCCTTTCCCAGTCTTCGTCATAACCTTGTCTTCTGCTCACCTTAACCAGTTTATTGAGTGTTTTCACTAGAGTGGAAACGTCTGAACATCTGTGACTTCTGTTATTTTGTCAGGAACAAGTGAACAGAGACGGTGGAGAATCCAACACAACTCAATCTGGAAACTCCAGTTTTGATGAGAGTGAGATTTCACACGGTGAGACCGAGCAGCTCCTACACAGGGATTCTCTCTCACTCAGTGAAGATTCCTCTAGTGGTGAAGGCGACAGTGAGTATGAGGACTGTCAGGAGGAGGAAGAGGAAGCTTGGCAGACGTGCTCGGAAGACAGTGGCCCTGAAGAGGCTTCTGGTCAGGACTGGAAGGAAAGCTGTACTGTGGGCTCTGAGGCTCAGGGCAGGAAAACGCCACTGAAAGGGCAGAGACACAATTTCAGCCACCTAGTATCAAAGCAGGAATTACTGGAGCTCTTCAAGCAGCTACACACTGGGAAGAAAGTAAAAGATGGGCAGCTTACTGTCGGACTGGTGAGATGGAGAGACATCATTCTTTTCCCACTGGAAGGTCTTTGTTCCCCACAAGAATCCCAGGGCCCATCAGGCTTCTGGCGTCCTAGGGTTGCCCACTTGCATCATAGGATTAGATATTGTGACAGACAGCCGAGCTCCTCCCCAAGGCTCGTGTTGGTTAAACAGCTGTTCATATTTGTGTATTTGCCAGCCTCCTTTCAGTACAGCTCTTCCCATCATGTGAATTACAGAGAGAGACTAGGAAGAGAGAACTTTTCATGTCGTCTTCAGACTTCTGGTCCAGTATCCTTTTGGCTTCCTGTGATGCTTGCCAACTTACACTGTACATGTTCCTGACGCACGTTAGAATCCACGCGTCCTGGGCCAGGCGAGTGTGGCAGATGCTTTAGTTGTGTGAACACTATGTAACAAGTAGGAGAAGAGAGATCACATTCCCGATAGATAGACCCTAATTCAAAAGTGGCTGTGGAGGTGCCCAAACCCCAAGAGGCTGTAGGGTAGTTCAGATGGCCCCATCCTTAGCTAAGGAAATGTAAATGTTAGGGTATTTATCATAAAGACCTTTCATCTAAAAAGATGAAACAGTGGAGAAAATGAAAGGAGATAATGAAAGAGTGAAAATGAAAGGCAGTTCCCAAGTTTCCCAGTTCTCATTACATGCCTAGTTTAGTTAGTCTTCATTATTTTTGAGTCTCCTTCTTCCCCACGACCCCCCAAAAAAAAACCTACTTGAAGTGACTGAAATGGATTAACATTTTAGTGCCCTAATTAAAGAGGTGTCTGTCAAGTCAGGCAGACCACGGTGTCATGCCCAGTTTTGTAGAGGAACTAACTTGCTGTTAGTATCATTGGAAAAGTTACTTATTTCTTGCAACTTTAAGGCTTCATTCTCCATGTTGCTAAAAATTCATTTCCACATGCATCAGGAAGTCCAACACCTCAAGTTAGTTTTTATCTCACAGTTATGGACATACTTAGTAGTTTCCCTTCCTTTCTGCATTGCTCGCTGTAGAAGTCCTGAGACTGGATTTGCTCAGTCACTGCAAAACAGTCATTGATCCTCTGCCACATGCCAGGCCTTCTGCTGGGCCCTAATTCAGAGTGATTGAAAATTAAAAATAATTGTTTGTTTTCCTCATTTAAGCGGTCATCTGCTGCTCAGTTTCACTCTGTGGAGGTTGCAATAGGAACAGTGGCCTACCTGTAGATGGGTGCTGAGGGAAGGCTGGAAACAAGGCAGCGAGGTATGCTGGAGCATCTCCTGGCCACAGCAAGCCCGATAAAAATAAAACCTACGTAGCTGGAGCGTTTGTCACTGGAGACATCTAAATAAACACACCCACCCTGTAGGAGGAAACAAGTCAGCAAACACCCCGAGCATCTATTTTTAATCTTTTGACATAACCAGACGCATGAGCTGTTGCCGCCGTTTTTGAAATGCCTTTGGGTCTCTGGTGCTATTCGACTATCCAGTTACTTCCACATGTCTTCCAGGTGGGCTACCCTAACGTTGGTAAGAGTTCAACAATCAACACCATCTTGGGCAACAAGAAAGTGTCTGTGTCTGCCACGCCTGGTCACACCAAGCATTTTCAGGTATTTCTGTGTTTTCTTGCCTCTCGTGCACAGCGCTGTCCCTTCATCTGCTCTGTGCCCAGTGTAAACCCCCTGTCTTTCAGACTCTGTATGTGGAGCCTGGCCTCTGCCTGTGTGACTGCCCAGGCTTGGTGATGCCATCTTTTGTGTCTACCAAAGCAGAGATGACTTGCAACGGCATCCTCCCGATTGACCAGATGAGAGATCACATTCCACCTGTATCACTGATATCCTTTCTGCCTCAGAAGCACTCTGTTTCTAGCGTGTGAAAGGTTCCAGGTTTGTTTCAGACATGGTCCTGCAGCAGCATTTGAGAAATTCAGATCTGTTGTGTGTGTCTGTGTGAATGTTTTTGCCCTAAGGCATGTGCGCTCGCTATAAAGACATGAGAGGTGGAGGGAAAGTGAGAAATCATCCCCCAGGAGATGGCCACACTGCAGTGCGTTCTCCATTCTCTTCCTGGGATTTCAGGCATGCATGCACGCACACCCCAATGAGTTTCAAGCGACTGGGTCCCAGACTTGAGCCACGGTCGGTCATGTGGGAGTCCAGCGCCTTCACCACTATGCCACCTACTGTCCTCCAAGTCTGAGATCTTAAGGCTGGAGACTAGTCCTTACTAGTGATGTGCACAAGTTTATGCAGTGAGGTAACATCAGAACATGAGAGTTAGAACCACTACTCCTGTGATTTTAGCTTTGTAGCCTGGACTGCAAACTTGTTTAACACTGCCACTTGACTCTTTGACCTTGGGAAACTTAGCGCTCTGTATACTTTTCAGTAAAATGCGAAAAATATGTATCCCATATTTGATTGTATTTAACTATTTATAGTTAGTGTTTATTGAATGCTTGCTGTGAACTTTCCTAAACACCAAGTAATATCTTACTTAATATTCAAAAAGCAACTTTTGAGGACAGGTACTGCTATTCGCATTTCTTCATATGTGAGGAAACTGAGGCACAGAGAAGTAATTTGCCCAAGATCTCAAAGCTAGTAAGTAGTATATTAGGAACTCTGCTTCTTTTTTTTTTTCCTTTTTAAAGAGATTTTTGGTATAGGGCATGTGCACTTAACAGAAACAGAGAAACAAAAAGCAAGAAGTCACCCTCCCCAAGGGGATGGCCATGCCACAATCATTTCTCCTCTGGGGATTTTGGGCACACATGCACACACACCTGGCTGTTTCAAGCTGCTGGTTCTGGGACCCAAACTGCTGTCAGCCATATGGGGGTTCAGCAACATAGCCACTACAATATCTGCTAGTCCTCCCCCCCCCTTTTTTTTTTAAGAATGATTTATTTATTGAATTTGACTAGAGAGAGAGGGAGGGACATTGAGAAACTAAGCCTCAGGGTCTGGGACCTGAACCGCAGTCAGCCACTTGGGAGTCCAGCACCGTAACCACCATGCCACCTGTTTCTCCCCCACCTTTTTTTATTATCTTTATTTTTCTGGAGAGGTTTTTGCTATAGGGCATGTGTGCTCGCCAGAAAGACAGAGACATAAAGTGAGAAATCACTCCCCAGGGGGGATAGCCACGCCGCAGTCCCTTCTCCATTCTCCTCTCGGGATCTTGGGCACGCATGCACATGCATCTGGCGTGAGTTTAAGCCGCCAGGTCTGAGACTCAAACTGCGGTCGACTACATGGGAGTCCAGTCCAGTAACAGCCATTACGCCAACCTTTTTTTTTTTGGAGAGGTTTTTGCTATAGGGCGCGTGCACTCGTCAGACAGACAGAGACATAGAGACAGAAAGCGAGAAATCACCCCCCAGGGGGGATGGTCATGCCACAGTCCCTTCTCCATTCTCCTCACAGGATCTTGGGCACGCACGCACACACGCCTGGCGTGAGTGTTTAAGCCACTGGGTCCAGGACGCGAACCACGGTCGACTATGTGGGAGTCCAGCGACATAGCCATTATGCTAACTGCTGGTTCCCTACGCCAACCTTTTTTTAAGAGAGAATTTTTGTTATAGGGTGAGTGCGCTTGCTACAGAGACAGACACAGAAAGCAAGAAATCACCCTCCAGGTGGGATGGTCACACCTCATTCCCCTCTCCTCTTAGGATCTTGGGCATGCACACACACCTGCTCCACATGAGTTTCAAGCCTCCGGGTCTGGGACTTGAACCACAGTCAGCCATGTAAGAGTCCAGCGACTCCATTATGCCATCTGCTGGCCCCAGGAACTTGGCTTCCTCCTAGCAACATAATGAGTTAACTTACTTGTAAAGCATCTAGAACAGTGCAGGGCAAGAAAGAAGTACTCAGGTCTGTGAAGAACTGCAGGGTCTGAGAGTCTGCTCCACCAACAAGCTAACAGGCCACCAGTGGCAGAGGACAGGAGACTCCATGAAATGGTGACTCATCTGTCAGCTTGTGCGCAGGGCAGAACTCTAGACTGCACAGCTGACAAAGTCCTTAGTGACTACATCGAAGGCTGTGGTTTTTGGTTTACCCCAATTTGTTTCCTCTTCCTATAGGGAATAAATAAGAATTCGTATTTCTAGGGCACATATGGAAAGGTGTATCTCTAAGATGGATGCTGTACTGTTGTTAAGGATGTACTCGGCCCACATTAATCTCAACAGTACATAGAGGAGGAGTCTTGAAACAGTTCATAGAAAATGTATATTATGAAAAACGTACATAGATTTCAATATCTTATACCAAAATTAACTTTAATTCCATTTTTCGTGAACTTTCTGGCATCCCCTCATGCATATACAGTATGATAATTTTTGTGAAACTTTTCATCTTACAGAAACACAGTATTTTGTATTCCTAGAGACACATGTAGGTAAAAGTATGAGCAGTAGACCGAAGGATGAACCACGAGCTGCTTACCTCTGAGTAGGGGGAGAGACCAGTGTAATGTTGTAAAAGTTTATGTGTTAATAGATGAAATACTAATTCTCATTAGGGAACTTGGAAGCACAGGTGATATTTCTGCCTTTCTGTGTTGTTTAAGTTTCTCTGCAAGTTAATGATCACACGAGTCTAAGCCCAGCTAGGTGAGGTGCTGCGGGGAAGGCAGGCACAAGTCGGAAGTGGATCCTGCCCTTGAAGGAGCATCCGTCCGGCAGGCGGAGGCACATGCGGAGTGACTGGTGCACGGGAGAGTATTGCAAGTGCCCAAGGAAACTGCGGACAGTTGGGAGATCACTCAAGGGAGGAGACGTGATCTTGCAGAGTGACTGGCATTAGGAAAAAGACTGTGCTTATCTCTGAATTAGGACCAGCTCACAGGTGTCTCATTTACTTAGTCTTTTCAAGGTAGAAATGGGCTGTCTTTAAGGTCTGTTTTAGAGGTATTTTAATAATTATCTTAATTCATTTGGAAGTGATCACTGATGCATGAGGTTTTATTTAAAAGGAAAACATTTTTTTTACTTTTTTTTTTTCTTAAAGAATTTTTTAAAAATTTTTTAAGTTTGACCAGAGACAGGCAGAAGGAGAGAGAGAGAAAGTGAGAAAGCAAGCCACCAGGTCTGGGACTTGAACCACAGTCAGCAGTGTAGGAATCCAGCACCCTTAACCACCACACCACCTGCTGGCCCCAAAAAGAAAAGAATGATTTTCAAAGGAATAACTGTATTCTTTCTGGAGAGGAAAAAGGAGGTCGTCCTAGAAGCGGTGAGGTACCATGTTCTTTTTTTTTTTTTTGGAGAGGTTTTTCGCGATAGGGCGCGTGCACTCGCCAGACAGACAGAGAGACATAGAGACAGAGCGAGAAATCACCCCCCCATGGGGGATGGTCACGCTGCAATCCCTTCTCCTCCATTCTCCTCTCGGGATCTTGGGCACGCACGCACACGCGCCCGGTGTGAGTTTTAAGCCACCGGGTCCAGGACGTGAGTCGCGGTCGACTACGTGGGAATCCAGCGACATAGCCATTACGCTAACTGCTGGTTCCCTGGTACCATGTTCTTTAGAAGCACATTCCATATGCTATGGGGAGGAGGGGGGTCAATTCAAGAGAACGGATTCCTTGATCAGCTTACGTTTGTCAGAATATCCCAAGACATGTTTTAGAAGCTACCTATGGCATAAATATCATAAAACCTCGAGAGGATGAAGATCCCCTTCGACCTCCAACATCAGAAGAACTGTTGACAGCTTATGGATGTGAGTTGCGATTCTTTTTTTTTTTTTCACTTTGAAAGGTTTTTTGCTATAGGGTGCGTGCGCTCACCAGACAGAGACATAGAGACAGAAAGCAAGAAATCACCCCCCAGGGGGGATGGCCACGCCACAGTCCCTTCTCCAGTGTTCTCCTTTTCAGATCTTGGGCATGCACGCACACGCCCCTGACGTGAGTTTTTAGCCACCGGGTCCGGGACTCAAACTGCGGTAGACTACGTGGGAGTCCAGCGACATAGCAATGACACTGACTGCTGGTCCCAGTTGTGATTCATTTTAAAACATGAACAGAAAATACTGGGTCGTTGGAAAAGTCATGACGTATGTTTCCATGCTTTCCTATGCAAAAATGCCCCATGACTTTTCTGATGATCCAATTATATAGTTACTAGAAATAGTATTCTACAGAGATAAAAATTCACAGGATAGCCTCATAGCTTACTGGATGAGGGCGCCAGATTCCACATGGCCGACTGGTTCGCATCCTGGTCTCAGCAGTTTGAAAAATATGCTGGGCGCGTGGACATGTGTGCCCCAAATGCTGCCAGGATGGTACACGGAGAAGGCCCTGTGACGTGGACCTCATTCCATCGAATGGTGCTTTCTCCTCCCTCCCTCCCTCTCTCTCTCTCTCTCTGTCTCTCTCTCTCTCATGAGCAGGTATGCATTTTGGCAAGTTTTTAATACTTTATATTCTCTACGATTAATGTTTTGGTCATCTGTTGGCCTTGCTTACAAAGTGACCCAAAGAAAGAGCCCCTTAGGATATTTGCTGTTTGATGGTACCCAAGTGCAGACACACGGCTTCTGATGTGAGGCTGTGCTGGCTTTCTCTGGAGTCTCCCCCCAAATGAGAAAAGGGATGTTTGGAAGAATATAAATATGCTTATCAAAGCAGAGTTTAGAGTTACGAGGGGAATCAGAAAGGAAGCCCTCCGAGATAGCAAAGTTGGTTAGGCTAGATCAGTTCCCTGTCAACTTCATTGGTCATTAAAATGAGTCCACATTCTCTCACCTGAGTCTTCACGCCAGTTCTCCATGGACCTGTCATTTCTCCAGGTTTGTGTGATTTAGTTACCTTAATATAGGTCATCTGGAGAACCTGTGTCTACCTAAAGCTGGAGCAATGTTACAAATGTCCCCATGCCTGTGGGGCTTGTCTTTTTTTTTTTTTTTTTTTTTAGCTG